AACTGGGGCTGAATGTAAGCCCGTCACTCCGTCTTCAATCTTTTGCAGACATCTAGGTGAGACAACATTGAGATTGTTCACGTATATAAGCAATATATCTAGACGCATTCCCAGACGTCCACAAAGCTTTGGGGCCAGTTTTCCAGAGGATATCCAGAGAAATGCAAAAAAGGATGCACAGTTGAATTGACTCCGAAAACTTGAACTGTAAATTTTCGTCTGCAGAAACACTAGGCACCACTGAGTTATAGCCACTAAAGTAGTAGACAGCAGTATCTGCACAAAAATATATTGCTTACCATATTTCGCTACCTCGGGTAGCTTAAAAATGTTGTTCATTAGAGGCCAGTAGATAAGATAAGGTCAACGTCTGTTCCTTTCGAGTTTATCACTTATGGAATCCCATGCAATTTGTCATGGTTCTGGTACATTTGCCCAAGTTGCCGTCCTAATGCAGCCTCGTGTAGTTCCTCGAAAGCTACAGATGTCATAGAGATATCAGGAAAAAACGTGAAACGTTTCACTCCCACCAACTCAGAAAACAGCACAATTGCATGTAAATCGGGGATACCAAAATCCACACCGGTTATACTTGCAATTCCTGCCATAACTGCCCCAGACACAGAGGTTGAAGCACCAAGGGTACCTGTCGCCGGGAAAAGACCCTTACCGTCCACCAGTAAAAGTGGCCACAGCACTGCGACACATAATAATACCCAGTTGCACCAGATGAAACAAAACGGTCTTAAGGGGGATGACAAATGTGCGAGGACCGAACCTAAATCCACGGTCAGTCGATCAAGCTGCGTTATCCTCTTTAATGTACCAGACTGTAGCAGTAGTCTGCTGGAAAACAGGGCCCTGTTTGATCAGGAACAGTGGTCCAACTTATGTAGCACACTGGGTCTGGACATCCAACCAGTAAAACTGTGCAGATTGTATAAGGGCACTGCTGCTCCTCAAGGCAAACCATCCCCACTGAGGGTAACACTAGGCTCTGCCGAAGATGCCGAAAAAGTTTTATTGACTTCCCAAGTCCTTTCTATAGGGAGGACCTGCAATATACGTGTTAGGCCAGATAGGCCATGGAAGGAAAGACAGATGGCGAGGGAGTCGCCAGAGCTTATTCCTTCTGCCTCCATGGTTGTTCACGGCATTCCTGAACTGGAAACTGGGAACGCTTGTGAGAAGCACTGTCACGATGTCCAGCAATGGAGATGGTTGGCATCCCAGATGGGTCTGGGAAGTTCAGGGGCTGTCTCTATTTTTAGACTGCCTCGACCCACTCACCTAATGTCAATTAACACCCCACATCTGTTAGCTGTTAAGTTTAGCTCCCGAGACCACTTGACTACTGCTCTCCAGAGATGGTACGAGACCAAAGAGAAGGTCAGCAGACACATTCGCTGCTGCGAGAGCCGGCCTCGTACCCAAAGGAGAGAGCAAAACGTTGTCATAGAACATCCCCAACCCCTAGTCACAATACAGCGGTGCAGCACGGACGATGATAGCCAGTGCCATCCAAGTGCTCCGATTGAATCAGAAGAAAAAAACTCCAACAGGCCGGTTCCCGGGGAATCGGCCAACTAGTTCGTAGGATAACACCTCAACCGACAGCCCACATCACGTCAACCACCCCCCAATACGGGGACGTGGTGAGACTGACTACCAGTTGCCTGTACAGTAATGTGAGAGGTCTAAGAGGCAAAATAGCTGAACTTAGATACCTACAATCACAGCTGAACTCCAAAATCATAATACTGACGGAAACCTGGCTAACCCCTACGGTGGCAGACAGCGAAGTCAGTATAAATGATATGGTCCTTGTCAGGCGAGATAGGGATCTGAAAGAAGGAGGTGGAGTCGCCATATACGTCGACAAACAGCTCAGATGTGTCCATGCAATCGACCCTCCCCTCATTGAGCTCCCTGACTCCATATGGTGCCATTTCACCGTTGGGTACTGTAAGTATCTAGTGGGCAGCATTTACAGATCACCTTCATGTGGAGCAGACCACAACCAGGTACTGCTGAATGCAATTTCAGCGACACATGACCTGGGTTATGATCAAATTGTCATAGCTGGAGACTTCAATGCCCCATCTCTTAACTTGATGACGGGATGTGCCCAGGACAGATTTGATCGAAATCTGCTGCATACCATCACGGAGGCCGGATTCACCGAAAATGTCAGAATGGATACTAGATGGGGCCCAGATGGGAAGTCTTCTAGACTGGATTACGTGCTCACTAGTGACCAGCTACTAGTGGAAAACGTTCAGATCACGACTCCCATAGGTAGTAGTGACCATGCGGTCATAACATTCGACATAGTCCTCCGCGAGCGTTTACAGTGGGACAATACACAGCCCTATCTGTGTTATAACAAAGCCAATTACACCGAAATGCGAAGACTTTTGTCTGAAGCAAATTGGCCAAAAAATTGGACAGAGCTTACAGTAGAAGAACACTGGAGAGTGGTAAAGGAGATCATTCACCAGGCGATCTCAGACACTGTTCCTTTGGTCACACCTAAAGCTAGAAAGCAACGTTCATGGCTAAAAAGGGGGACACAACGCCTTCTACAGGCGAAGCGAAAAGCCTGGTTTGCGTGGCGAGTATCGCAGAGTCAACCCGAACATGAAGAGTACCTCGAACTCAGGAATCGGTGTAACATACGAGTCCGGAGTGATAGAAGGACATTTCAGAGAAACCTCGCCAATAAGCTTCTCGTGAACCCCAAAAGCCTATACAGGTTTATGTCTGAAAGAAAACCGACCAACCAGGGAGCTTGCAATATAGTGGGTTCTGATGGGAAATCTCTTACTAGTCTTGAAATGGCAGAGACATTCAGTCTAGCCTTTCACAGGCAACTGAACAGTAACGAGGATTTTACCCTCACAAAACATCAAGATTACAATGCAAGACCAACGTGCGAAAACCTGCTGGGTACATTTCAAATTACCCCGGCTATGGTACTCATAAAATTGGGAAAGTTGGCTTCGGGAAAGTCTGCAGGTTGCGACGACATAAGACCATCCGTCCTGAAGCAGTGTTCAGAAAGTCTCTGCCAACCCCTAAGTGATCTGTTTCAACACTCCTTTGATGTAGGGAAACTTCCATGTGAATGGAAACGAGCCATCCTATCCCCTATCTTCAAGGGTGGTGACCGGCAGAACGCGACCAGTTACAGACCAGTTGCGCTACTCCCAGTGATATCGAAGATATTCGAAAGTCTCATTGACGACCACATGAGAAAATACTTCGACGGGACTAACCTACTCCATGAAGCACAGCATGGTTTCAGGAAGGGAAGATCCTGTGTGACGAATCTTCTACTAGCTTGGAACGATTGGACACTATCCTGGGATGTAAAGGTACCAGTCCATGTGATCTTTCTCGACTTTGCGAAAGCATTCGACACAGTTCACCATGGTCTGCTCCTTCACAAAATAAGCAAAGCGGGTGTTTCTGGAGCACTTCTCGCATGGCTGGAAGATTATTTAGGCGAGAGAGAATTCTGCACCAAAGTCAACCGCATCCGATCATCCTGGCACACCTCGGCATCAGGGGTTCCTCAGGGTTCTATCTTAGGGCCGTTGATGTTTTTGATTTTTATCAATGACCTGCCCTGTCAACTGAATTGCTCTGCGCTTCTTTACGCTGACGACGTAAAGATTTGGAGAGCAATAAACTCATCGGAAGACTCCGACAGATTGCAGGCTGACCTGCAAACGCTGGGGGACTGGGCTCTGGCTAACGGAATGCCTTTCAACTTAAAGAAGTGCAAAGTAGTGCAACTTCATTCCGGCAGGTCACAGAGTGCAAATTACACCCTTGGTGGCCAGAACTTGAGTTGTGTGCCATCAGAACGCGATCTAGGCCTTATTTTAACAGAAAAGCTAGACACCAGTGTAAATTACACGAGGGACGTCGCCAAAGCTTACGGCACTTTACACTTTATGCATAGGCAACTGGGAGCTCTTACTCCTGAACTATTCCTAACGTTGTATACGACATACGTGAGGCCACTCCTTGAGGTGCGTAATATCATTGCTCCTCCGCTACTCAAAAGGGATACTAACATGCTAGAAAGTGTCCAGAGACGAGCGACAAAATGGGTGATCGGCCTCCGCAACAAATCATATGAGGAGAGACTGAAGAAATTAAGTCTTTTCACACTTAGTTACCGTAGTCACAGGGGAGACCTCATCACCGTCTATAAGATCCTAAATGACCAGGCCCATCCTAACAAGAGCATCCTGCCATTAAGTGATTATAGGCTTCCACGAGGTAACCCGCTAAGGATAGCACACCAGAGACCAAGGACTCGAGTGCGTTCACATTTCTTCTCGCTTCGAGTTTGCCGTCTCTGGAACGCTTTACCGGCGGCCGTAACTACAGCTCCATCTGTGGAGATTTTTAAGCGGAAGCTGGACAATCATGCAGAAATGCATGGTTTGTGTCTCAATGGCTTACCCTCTTAAAATTTGAAACCACATTGTCAATGGATAAGCATACAAGCTAAATCTTCACGACCCGTCCTGTCTTCTCCCACTGTACCGACTACTCTATCTTTCTTTCTTTCTTTATCTTTCTTTCTTTATTATTTCACTTATCTCAACCTATATTATCTACACTACAACCTATTATTATCATTATCATTATTATTATTATTACTCTACTTTTATGACTATACCGAATGACCGACGGGTGTTAGGTCAAACTCCATTCACGGCAGCAGCTGAGTCCTAACATACTGCACACTACAAACCACAATCTTGACCAATCCTCGCATCACTCCTCCTGGAGTCTACCAGAGCTAAAGCAGTCGAGTGGCGGGATTTACTACGCATAAGTTCACCGAAGATCTGGAACCTCTACCTTAAAATCAAGAAGCGAGCTCAAAGAAATCACTGGTTTATACTAGCTCGTAATCAGGATATTGGATATTGGATATTGGATGACCTAAATAACATTCGAATTTTTAAAAGGAAAGAATGCTTGATGCTTATACAAATCCAATATTTGTCTATTACAACTTATTTGACCTATCAAGTATAGCACAGTTTGCAGCTGTTGCTCCTTCTCCGTCGAAAGATTTTCATCACCTACTAATAACAGCAGACGAAGTTAGTAGTAAAATTACAAGTTTTTCTGAATTTTATATTGATAAGCACTTTTGAAGTCAAGTATGTTTAGAAGTCAAATGTCACGATATGCAATCACTCATTTTAATGTCATGTAATATATGATCATCAGCGTAGTATCACCACGATGGTGGTGCCCCTCGAAGAACAAGAGCTACTTAAATGAATCTAATTTAACGTCTCTGAAACAACCAAAAGCCTTCGTTGGCTGAAAACGCTTCACAATGATACTTTAAAATCACTTGCTGTGCATGCATAAGTACGTATACGGACTTACATTGAATGGTAAACCTTATATATATATACCATTGCTGCTCGAAAAGGGAAGGTAATAAGTCACCTAGGAAAGGGGGGATACTTGGGAAAGTCTCCTCTATTTCTTCCTTCCGGTCCATTTAGGATACAATTTGCTTGTTAGAAAAGGGTAACAATGAGCCTTCAGTTAGGGTAAAAAGGGACACCCAGTGGAATGAAATTGCGGAGTGAAGGACATTTAGGATGTATATGGATAATCTGAACTGCTTCCATCACCTTTAATAACCTTGAATTAGACTTATGTGAAATAATTGAAAAGCAGTCACTAGTATTGATTTTGTCACCACACATTATTATAAAATGCTTAGCAATGGATGATACCTGGGTTTCTATTCAGATCAATTACATTTAGATTCTCTGTGTGTGTCACCGCAAATGCTGCGGGGGTATGCTATCCTATAGGTCAATACTAGTGATTGCTTTTTAATTATTTCACGTAAGTCTAATTTAAGATGATGGGGGTACCTAGAATTATTCGCATGCAATAGACTTCAACCTTTGCCTGCCATGGATAACTTAAATATGATTGGTTGACAATATGTTTGTTTTATATAACTGAGTGATTGTCATACATTTTACCTTACTATTTTGATCCATGCTACTTGAAAAGCCATTGTAGGGAAACCACGAAGTGATGTAAACTCGCGATATTTGTCTTCCAAAACGTTTTATTTAAGATAATCAAAGTGGCTAACTGTTTCTAGTAAAGGAGAATTTGTCAATGAACAGCCACCTTACAATGATGGCGTTTTTCATGTCCCCTTTTTACGCATAATGTATAGGCTTTTTCTCTAGATTTTGTCCCGATATTCGCTCCTTTTTTCTCTAAATTACTACCTTATATTCTAATAATTTCTCCTCTTAAAGCCTAATTTCTATCTTATTGTTCTTTAAATCCTATAAATAAACGCCTAATTATGACTTTAATACCTATTACTGGAATCACCATCATAGTGGGACCGAGTTATACCATAGGCATAGAAAACTTGTTCATTATTTATTATTATTGTCCCCTTTGGTTCCAAGTGGAATACAACAACAAAACATATCCACTTTCTTCTATTTTTTGTCGTTCTATTCAGCCTACTAGCTCCACAATTGCCCATACTCTCTCATCCCTTCCTCCCACGATCTCCTCCATGTCACCCGAGGACAACTAGCTCGTCGCTTCCCATTTGGATTCCACTCGAGTGATAACCTTCATTGAGCGTGATGTCACTCAACAGCCTTTTCAATGTATACCCGATCCATCTCCATTTTCCCTTACGTACTTGTTGAGCGGTCGACTATTGGTTGGTTTCTTGTCTGAGTTTATTGTTGCTAATTATTTCTGGCAAGTCATTTGATCTTCAGGATGGATACAGTGAAGGCAGCTGTTGATGAAAGTCTGCAACCTGTTGGAAATCCTTTTCGCTACACGTAGTGTAAGTTTCCGACCCGCATAGAAGGACCGACTTGACATTGGTGTTGAAAATGCAAATCTTGTTCCTTATGCTGAGTGTAGGAGATTTCCAAATTGGTTTCAGGTTGATGAAGGCGTATCTTGCCTTTCCGATTCTGGCTGGCTGACTTTGACATCTTCATCCGTTCTGACTGCATCTTAAACGATGATTACTAGATTGATGTTGAATCTCTCCCGTTTATGGTAATCGGTGCTGGTTGTCGTTGTTGCATTTCGTTGATTATCTTCATGACCTCCATCTTCTCTATGTTCACTTAAAGTCCTGTCTTTGCTGCCAGCTTCTTAAACCAATTTGATGGTTTTCGCCCGCAAGTCTCCGAGTTTGTGTGACATTATATATATATCATCTGCGAAATCCAGACCTTCTAGGGTCTTCTTGTCGGTGGTCCAGCGTACTTCTGACTCCTCACTCCCTGTGCAAAGTCTGACGCATAATCCAGTCCACCTTAATTAAGAATATCATCGGTGATAATAGTCAGCCAGCTTGTCTTACTCCTGTATGTACTTCCAACGTCTCGCTGAGTTTTTTTTTGTGAATCACCTGGCACGTAACACTAACATGTAGCTGTTGAGTGGGGTTGATAACGACCTGAGGTACACCATAGTGTTGAAGTATTTTCCAGATTACTTCTCGGTCAACGCTGTCGAAGGCCTTTTGGAAGTCGATGAAGTTGAGGTGGGGATTTGACTGCCATTCTATGCTTTGTTTTGTGATGATGATGCGTAGAGTTGCAATCTGATCAGCATACGATTTGCTTTTCCTGAATCCAGTTTGTTCTGGCTGGTGGACCTCTGTATCCAGTGCATCCTTTATTCTCTCCAGGATGATGCGACTTAGTATTTTATTTTGGTGGGGGAGAGCATTATTCCACGCCAGTTCTTGCAGAGGCCTAGGTCGCCTTTTTTGGCAGCCTGACCAGGTAGCCTTTCTTCTGTGGGTACCTTTCCTTCCCTCCAAACCTTTTGCAGTAATGGTGTGAGCACGTTTGCGGCAGTCTCTGGGTCCGTTTTCAGTGCTGCGGGGTGGAAGAATTCCGTCTGGTCCTGCTGCCTTCCTGGTCGGCATTCAGTGGCTTCATCGTATTGAAGATTTCTGCTTTCGTTTTAGGATTGGTGTCCACTGGCAGGTAGTTCTGTAAGTGCTAGGAGAGTTGCAGTTGATGGTCGATTCAAGATTCCTTTAAAGTGATCAGCCCACTGTTTTATTTGTTTCTCCTCCTTCGTAATCAGGTTCCATTGAATATCTTTTATTGGTTGCATCATCTCGGTTGATCTCTTTCCGGATAGAGGACTAGTTATCTGATATCTTGATATAATGTTCATTATAGGCATTTTATACTCAAGTTGTATGATTTTAAGGGAAAAAAGCAATTCTTCAGATGACTGAGTTATTAGTATTTCATAGTCAAAATTTACAAGTTATATACTTGAGTAGATTAAGAATTTTTTCAAAGTTAAAGGAGGTTTCTCGATTACGCCAACTAGCCGTGATCCAAAAGATCTATAAAATTATGCTGAAATGAAAAGAAGGATTTATTCAATAAGCAGTGCAATAATCCTTACAGTTGGAATATGAACGTTTACACTTAGATCATCGGCTTTATGTCTATTAATAATAATACTATTAGAGACAATGAATATGTGAACAATTTGTGAGTTATTGAATGTATCGACTTAATCATATTTATATTTCAATAAAAATACACATTATGAGAATGTTTTAAGTACTAATTAAAGTTAATGGCGGTAACAACTACATGATAGACTTTTAAGGCATTCATTTAATGAGGATACGACTTATGGAAATGCTTTTCCTGTCAATAGTCTTGTTGTTTCCAGCGACCCATTGAAATGAAATCAGTATTTGGTTGGACAGTATACATTGAAACTCCTCATAGTGCGTTCACCGAAATCTAAACTTGCTCTTTTCCAGCTTTCCCTTTTGGTAATGCGATCACGGATGGTCGTGGAAGTACGCCTTAGTGACCACCTTCAGCTTATTTCTCACTTTGTCTTCCGGTATTGTAGCAGAAACGAACTTGATAAGAATGACGGCTGAAAGCATTATTTAAGTGAAGCAATCTTACATGTAGTGATGAAATGATAGCACCGTATGCGGTGAAGCAACTCAAAGCTTAGGCTTTCAAATATACTTCATATAGTTTTATTCATCTAAACGCCATCAGTAGTCAGATGGAAACTTATTATTGAATCCCTGAATTTTGAATTTTTTAAGGACGCCTCCAGTTGAATGAATCTGTCTTCGCTTAGCCAAGGGAATTCCAGTTGACCATTGTTAATCAAGGATGCACTGTTTCCCAAGGTGGAGGAGTTTTTCGTTCTAATGAGCATCAACAACTCAGCTATCAGTTTTGTAAGGGACTCTAATTTTTTCCTAATCGCTCCGATAGCTTCATAACTGAAAATTAATTAGGAAGTAAAAAGGACTTACATAATATTGAGAGTTAACTGTGCGAATAGGGACGAAGTCGCCATTGGCATTTGCCTTGTAGATGTGCTGAAGGAATATGAATATTGACTTAGTGCATCATCTGGTTATAGATGACATAAGAGTGTTGGGATATTTGGATGGTCCACACATTTATACCAACACAGCATTTTGCTCATCTGAGCCAAACACTTTGGACGAGTTCTTTTTTTCTAATACTCTGTATTATGTCATTACTCAGTAAGACGGATTTGCCGTTGAGGCTCTACATCGGTGAGTGGTAAGGTGTCCTCACAGTTGTCTGATTTCTTACTGCACTTGTGCAGCTCCAGAACATCGCCATCAATCATGGTCATTTCCGTGTAATGCAGCAGACATTTTCGAAGACCGCTTCAAATTTGCTTTGATTTGCAAGATCCACGCGTTCTCAAGACACTTTGAATAGTCGTAGGTAGCTGAGGCTATTTCTTACGGAATATACTCAAGATTTTATCACAATCGGCTAGTGAGATGTTCGTGGTGATCATGATTTCAATTGGCATATTTATCATTTCATGACTTTCAGGGCACATTTGTAAAGTACTTGCAACAGGTGTTAGGCTGCTGCAATGCGGCGTTTTCAATTCTTTAATCTTCATGTACTCGGTTTTAGTAATCATGGAGGAAGCTGCGATTTTCACAGGGACAATGGCAGCTCTACTGTCTTCCTTGATCTTCACTGACATTAACTGCTGATAGTTACGTTTAAATCTCCTA